TACATACATACATACATGCATCCATGCATACGTGCATGCATCCATGCATGCACAACTACCTACCTACCTACCTACCTACATACATACATACATACGTACATACCTACATGCATACATACATACATACATGTTACCCTATCACAGCCTGGCAGTTTCCACCTTCTTTCTACTCATCCCAATGTATCCTTGTACAATCCCAGTATATTCACATGAGCTTGGATTCGCAGGTGCTCTTGAAGCTGTAGGGGCTGATGCAGCTGCAAACAGCGCGGGCGGTGCAACTGCAGCCGTAGCCTTGGTTGTTGTTAAGGAATTTGAACTACGTTACCGTACTGTGGGTATATCGGGTTCAGGTTTAGGGTGTCCGTTGCCACAAAACAAGTATTTATCTGCAACAGGGTTTCCGTACTACAGTAATCTGAGCTTAAGTTCTTCAACCCTAAGGGTCCAAGCGCCTAATAACCATATACTTACCCAAAACGTGTACTATAATTACTACTACGCAAAACCCAAGTATTTAAATATTGGGTACATGGGCCCTCAACCCCAAATCCTAAACCTTAGACCGTATAGATCCCCTTTAAAGGGGACCTAATTACAGGGTACATGGACCCTCTGGGTAACAGCAACCCAGTAGCCGCCGGCTCAGACTCATGACCATACTCCGCATGATTAAAGGCTTAGGGTTTGATGCAACGTTGCGTAGCGGCAATGATTCATAGATTGCAAGACTCGTTAGCCGTGCTGTTGCTTGCGAATCGCAGCCATGGCCCGACTGTGGAGGGCCATCTCACAACTCACCCACCCAACGAAGTCCAGGCGGCAAACCACCCAAACCTATACTTTTTAGGGTTTAGGAGCTAAACTCGGTTAGGTCCATATTGGTCATTAACATTATTCAAAAACATAATTACTTCGTCTCAAGAATTTCAAGGCTGGGTTTCTGGAATGGCTCAGGGGTTGAGGATCCGGCGGCTAGGCCCCCCCAAAAGAGTCGAGGTATTTGGAACACTCCTGAGAAAGGCTGGAAATTTGCGGGTTTTGAGCCCTTGAAACCCTGCAGGCTGGGAGGCCCCCGAACCTGGGAAGATGGGCCGTGAACTCCAGAGCCTTGGAGTTGTTCATCATGAAGGACGAATGTTACTGCCAGCTCTGAACATGCAAGATTTCACCCACTCGAAAATCTGCCCGACTGGACTGGAACAGCCTTCGACACTTGTCCATCAGGCTCCGACATGAATCTGAATACTGGCGGGATGCAGCTCCAACAGCAACTTGCCGTGTGTCGAGACGAAAATTCTCTATAAGCGTCTCCATAGTATCAAGGACACCCCGGAGGTTCTGGGAGGCTCCTTGAAAGGCTTCGAAAGGCGAGTGAGGCGGGTTGTTTGGGAGGCCCTGGGCCTAGGCACCTGGGCCTTGGGAGGCCTTTGGGGCCTGACCTGGAACTTTTGCAGTTATAGAAAGTCCAAAAGGCCCTGGGTTCAGGAGGCTCTGAAAAAACCCAGCTCCGCCATTCCAGAGTTTGGGCTACAGGGTTTAGGGTAATGACTTTATAAGGGACCTTTTTGTCCTGAGGAGAAACTCCTCCAGGTACCTGGCCTCTCGTGGGTGCTTCCGTACCCCTGGCTGTGGGAAGGCAGGCGACCGTGCTGGATCGACCTGCGCCATCAATGTTGAGAAGCCTAAGCGCCGCCCACCATCGAAGGTGGGCGGCCTATGCCATGAGTTTAGGGTTTAAGGTTTAGGGTCCAAAAAAGGGACCGTAATTTTGACAACCACCCACCTGTATGAGAAGCTCCCGAAGAGCACTGAGACCGTGTTGATTGAAGTACGTGCTAAACTGCACAACAGAATCGAAGTCGGAGTATCCTTGGCTGCGCTGCGGAAAAAAATAGCTCCCCTAAATCCTTGAAAAAGAAGAGGCAGTATCTCCACAACCGAAACCATAAAACCTAAACCAAAAAAAACTGCCAACCGAAAGTCTGAGATCCAAGAGGAACATCTTATCATTAAATCTCCAGCCGAAAGCCCTAAGATCCAAATCCAGAACTCGAAGCCCTGAACTTTCAACAACTTCCTATATGGTTCCAGGGTTTAGGATTCGGTTTCAAATTATTGTTAGTTGCACACCACCTGTTCTACAACTGCTATTTCCAAATTCGCAAGTACCCAGTCGTCGGGTATGTGGACCCTTGCCCTAAACTAAACCCTACGAAGCCCGTCATGGTAGTGTCTATCAAAAGGTGACCTCAACATAGATTCCTACATCCCCAATGAGAAATATGGGACCCTCAAACAAGGACCCCAAATTGTGGAAGCCGCCATATAATCCGATGCATCTGTATGTATAGTCACCCTTAAGTAGATAGAATATGGGCTATACGGGATCTTATTACATACAACCCAAAGCCATATTCTATCTAATTAAGGGTGACTATATCCTCATAGGGACCGGGTCTCTGACCTCGATGGTGCTCGTCGCCCAATATCCTAAACTTACTTAGTAAGGGGTATAGTACATGGGGACTATTTAGGGATTATTATTCCTCTATTCCCTACCAACAACCAGTAAGCGAACTCCAAAGAGTTTAGGTCCAGTCTTACCTCCATTTTGTTGGTCACCCTTAACCCTACTCAAAAGACACAGAACC